CTTGTAGGCCACATGAAGAATTTATCTTTATCCTAAGGTAGGTGGCTTAATAGAACTTCCTGCCTTGCATTTTGAAAGAAGCACTCTAGCTGCTTTGTGGTGAATTGTAGCTAGTATGGGGTAGTTAGGTTAGAGGGAGGCAGTCTCAGCAGGCAATTATTAGGCAAGTCCAGGCAAGTGATATTGTGTCAGCGGTTAGTGGTAGTGGGTATGGAAAAAGTAAAGGGATTCGAAAGACCTATAAGAGATAGGTACATTGCCATGGCTAGATGATAGAGTGGTTATGAGCTCTCTCCTTCTTTATGTGTAAGTAATGAATTTACATATTATATATTACCCATATTCTCCATTGATATTATATATTATACACATATACTATGGATATATGTAGATAAATGTAAACATATGTGTAGGAGTATGTGTATACATACATATATATGTATATATTTCAGAGTAGTGCCTAATAAAAGATGCTCAAATAGAGCAATACTTTATGGCTAATTTCTCTTTTATAGCAAATCTTCACACTTTCTCTTATTTTTCCCTACTAAGTACAATAGTCAGGAATTTCATGTAAAAAGAGAATATGGGATAATTGAGTGAAAATAGAAGGATACATTTTGTCTTTATTGAAATGATTTTGACCAGTTTAAGATAATTACAGCACACACATTATACTTTTCACACTGAATTATGCCAAGCTTCCCCAAACCACTAATCAAAGAAGTCATTTAAATAATGACTAAATTATGATAATGAATTACAGTTAAAATGACAATAGAGAAGAATTAAAAGTAAAGAATGCTGAATAATGCTTAATTGTCATTATCAAGGTAAAGCACAAATGAAATAGGGTCAGCCTGAAGAATGATATTGGAAAAGTGACTGGGTTCTGGAATTGAGGCTTAAAGTTACTAAATTTTTTTGTGGAATTGATTTTTCCCTGTCATGATCATACCTTTCTTTTTGATGAATTTTGCAACTTTTATAATTCTGATTTGTGATATAGTTTTTAAAAGTGTAAATTATAATTAAAGTTTCCATGTGCTTCTCATGCCAAGTTTTATTCAGCTAGCAGTTAAGTAAGTGATCACCTGTATGGTTTCTGCCACTGGATGTTTTATTGAAGAATTTTTTGGGGGGTAAATTTATATTTCTCTGGTACAGGGCTCATTGTTTATTGAATAATTGGAGGTGGGTTATATCTAGCTATAGGAGACACCAATGTTTATGAAATATGAGCACTTAGATCTTTTGCATAACATTTGGATATAAATGAAATTTCCTTTTGAAAATAATAAGCAATGGGAAATGGCATGCATTTTAAAGGATGAATTAAGTTGACACAAAGCACTAAGATGTGTTAAGATTTTATGGAATGATTTATTCAAGTAGGGCTTTGGTTGACTAAGATGAACAGGTCTTGTCAACATCCCTGGTAAGTGTTTGGGATGTTTTGCTGTGGTATGTCTTCTAAATTGTATCACTACAGTTTCAAGACTCTAAATGAAGCAGTGTGTTGTTTATTACTGTAATACCTCAGCCTGCTCATAGCAGAAGGAACATTTTAAAACACATTACAAGTGCTCTCTCACTCAGTCTTTCATCTTTTGTCCATTATTAAAAATGACCTATAAGAAATCACATGGCAACCTAGAGTAGTTCAGGGAAATATTGAGCTTTGACTTTAAGTCTGTCTTCCTTGTAATACAAATAGTCATTTTTATTTGATATGTTCTATCCTGAATGATTAATTTGGCTTGAAATGTCTTTCTATATTACCGTTAATATTTTTTGTTTGTTTCTGAAACAAATATGAAATGGAAATGTCATGGACAGGGAAATTTTAAATGGCTAATTCTATGACTCACAGCCATTTTACCTTAGGCTTCCTATTTGCAATACCTTCATGACAGCAATGTTTCTTTCTGCCTTTTTGACAATATTATTTCTGGGAAATCAAGCTAATTTCTATTTTTCATTCCTTGTTGAAAGGATTACTCATATCCTCTTTATTACTACTCGTGTGTCCTTATCTCTGATTAAGATGGTCAATAATAATAATCCATGTCACTCTTTTGAAATTGTTTTTCCTTTAATGAATGCTATTAACTTTTTTCCCCATTTAACTCCGTATATTGATTTTTGGTTCCAGTTCTACCACTTTTATGTACCTTTTCTTTTTTCCAATTCTTCTTTCACCTTGGAATATTCTTTGACTCTAAGAAGATAAATTAATTGAAGATTTTATATGTTTACAGTATTACTTATAACACAATTTATGTTACATTTTAAAAAGTTTTATAAAATATTTACAGACTCAATCACATGTCATTTTTTTACTAGGGTAGAGGTAATTGTCCTTATTTTATAGTTGAAAAAATCAGGGCTTAGAGAAATTAAGTAAGCGACTTACCCATAGTAATATTTTTGGAAAATGACAAAGTCAGGACATAAGCTAGGCAATATTATTACTTTAAAAGCATACAGCCTAATATTTAATAAATCAGATATGTGAAGCAATGCCCTTGGCATTGGGGATAGGGTAGAGTTAATTCCACAATTGGGTATTTTGACTCAATTTGTTTCCTTATAAATACAAAACCCAGATAATATTGCTTATGTAATCAGTTTATCAGGAGTTACAGGCATACATCATTTTATTATGCTTGATCTCATTGTGCTTCATAGATATGTTGTTTTGAAGTTTCATGCAACCCTCCTTGAGCAAGTCTATTGTCATTTTTCCAAAGTATATGCTTACTTTCTGTCTCTGTGTCACATTTTAGTAATGCTCACAATATTTACAACTTTTTCTCATTATCTGTTAGGGTGAGCTGTGATCAGTGACCTTTGATGTTATTCTTGCAATTGTTTTTGGGTGCCATGAACCATGGCCAAATAAGATAGTAAATTTAATCCATAAATGTTGTCTATGTTCTGACTGCTTCACTGACCAGCCATTCCTCTATTTCTTTCCCTCTCTTTAGGCCTCTCTATTTCCTAAGGCACAGCAATATTGATTTTAGGACAATGAAGAACCCCTTAAGTGAAACAAAGAGTCATACATCTTTCAATTTAGGTGAAAAGTTAGAAATGATTAAGCTTAGTGAGAAAGGCATGTCCAAAACTGAAACAGGCTGATAGCTAGGCATCTTGTGTCAAATGGTACCCAAGTTGTGGATGCAAAGGAAAAGTTTCTAAAGGAAAAGTGCTATTCTAGTGAACACCCGAATGATAAGAAAACAATACATATTATTGCTGATATAGAAAAAGTTTTAATTATCTGGAGAGAAGATCAAACCAGCAACAACATTCCCTTAAATCAAAATCTAATGCAGAGCAAGGCCCTAACTCTCTTCAATTCTGTGAAGGTGGACAGAGGTGAAATGGCTGCAGAAGAAAAATTGGAAGCTAGCTGGAAGTTGGAAGAAGAAAACCTCACAAACAAAAGTTGGTTTGTGAGGTTTGAAGGAAAGAAGCCATTTCTGTAACATGAAAGTATAAGATAAAGCTGCAAATGCTGATGGAGAAGCTGCAGTAAGTCATCCAGAAGATTTAGCTAGCTAAGATCATTGGTGAAGATGGCTACACTAAACAATATATTTTCAATGTAGATTAAAAAACCTTGAAAGATGAAAAATCTTGAAAGAAGATGCCATCTAGGACTTTCCTAGATAGACAGAAGTAGAAGTTAGTGTTTGGCTTCTAAGTTTCAAAGACTGGCCCTCTTATTAGGGGCTAATGCAGCTGGTAACTTTAAGTTTAGGCTAATGCTCATTTAGCATTCTGAAAATCCTGGGGTCCTTAAAAATTAAGCTAAATTTACTCTGCCAGTGGTCTATAAATAACACAACAAAGCATGGATGACAGCACATTTATTTACAGCATGGTTCACTGAATATTTTAAGCCCACTGTTGAGACCTACTCCTCAGATAAAAGATTCCTTTCAATATATTATGACTCATTGACAATCCAGCTGGTCACTCAAGAGGTCTGATGGAGATGTATAAGGAGATTCCGGTTATTTTACTGCCTGAGAACATAACATTTATTCTGCAGTCCATAGATCAAATAATAATTTCAATTTTCAAGTCTTACTATCTAAGAAATATATTTCACAAAACTATAGCTTCCTTGAGTGATTTATCTGATGTACCTAGGCAAAGTAAATTGAAAACCCTCTGGAAAGGATTCGCCATTCTAGATATCATTAAGAACATTTGTAATTCATGGGAAGAAGTAAAAATAGCAACATTAACATGTATTTGGAAGAGATTTATTCCAACCCTTATGAATGACTTTAAGGGGTACAAGACATCAGCAGAGGGAAGTAGTTGCAAATGTGGTAGAAATAGCAAGAAAATGAGAATGAGAAGTGGAGTCTGAAAATGTGACTGAATTGCTGCAATTTTGAATGGTCTAGGAGTTGCTTCTTGTGAATGAGCAAAGAAAGTGGTCCCTTGAGATGGAGTCTACACCTGAGGGAGATGCCGTGAAAATTGTTGAAATAACAACAAAGGATTTAGAATATTACATAAACTGACTTGACAAAGTAGCTGCATAGTTTAAGGAGACTGAATCCAGTTTTGAAAGAAGCGTTATGGGGGTAAAATACTATCAAATAGCATCACATTCTACAGAGAAATCTCTTGTGAAAGGAAGAGTCAATCTATGCAGCAAACTTCATTGTTGTCTTACTTTAAGAAATTGCTACAGCCACCCTAGCCTCCAGCAACCACTACCCTGATCAGTGAGTAGGGATCAGCACTGAGGCAATACCCTCCACGGGCAAAACAGTTAAGACTCACTGAAGGCTAAGATGATTGCTAGCATTTTTAGCAACAAAATATTTTTAAGATATTTACATGGTTTCTTTAGACATAATGCTATTGCACATTAAATAGACTACCATATAGTGTAAACATAACTTTTATGTGTGCAGAGAAACAAAAACAATTGTGTGACTTGCTTTATTGTGACATTTGCTTTATTGCAGCTTTCTGGAACAGAACCCACAAGATCTCTGAGGTATGCCTATCCTTAATTTACCCTAATCATGGAGCTGCTTTTTATTTGTTTTAAAAGAAAGGGACATCATATTAACATGACCACTGAACTCATATAAATATAATATGTTCTTCAAATTTCTCTTCATGGAATAAGAATAGAGCTTGCAACTTTTTTTTTTTTTTTTTTTTTTTGTATTTAACTGATAGTGTTTACAGATAGCATTTAACTGATAGCATTTTCAGAACGGTTGAGTTGAGGGGTGCAGTGGCAACCATTATATGGAGTCAGGCTACTGATCTGTACACAGAATGGTCTCCCAGTCTTGGCCAAGCTTTGAACCTCATGAGTGGGCCAGCTAAGAGAACACGCCAAGAGGCCATAGTCTAGGTGCTGCTGGAGAGCTTATAGGGACTGCTGACGTTCATAATTATTCTGTTAACTTAATTGAGAAGTACTTCCTCTCTAAAACCCCTAACACAGAGCAAAAATTATAATATCTACATCATTTTAGTACATCCCACAAAATAGCAAGTCATGTGCCATATAAGTTAACTGTTCCATGTCCTCTAAGCACTTAGCTGGAAACTTGGTAACCCCCAAATATGCTGGAAAAGATTTTTTTCCCTGAACTTTTCTGTAAGAATTCTTAGAAGGTAGAGTGTCTGATTAATATTCTAGCATAGCAAGACAAGTTTAGAGTCTTTATTTGTGCAGAAAATTCTGAGAAGAAAATTGTCACAGAGATTTAACCCTTGGGATAGTATTTAGAGTGGAAACAAAATAATTACCTACAGTGTTAGAACATTTTCCTGATTTTAAGTTTCTTTGAAAATAATATATTTGGAGGTCAGTAAGTCAAAGACTTCTAAAAAATAATAGAGAGGACCCAAGTTTGATGCTCATTGGCTGTTGCCTACAATTTTAAACAAGATAGTGATTAAGTTCCGTACAAAAAATATAAAGCTGTATCATTAGAAGAAGCTTTGTCTTGGGTTTGTGAAATGTTTTGAAATAATTTTTGCAATGAGTAAATTAGTTTCATATTGGCATTGTGATATAAAGCCTTCTTTAAGACAAATAAGCAAACAAACAAACACATACCCCTGAGGCTTGATACATGTAAATGGTAATTAAAAAGATGCCTTGCTTTTAAATCGTATTTGGCCAGAGTAAAAGCCTGCAGTTCTACATATTTCCAGCAGGGGTCAATATGTTTTCATCATTACTGAATGCTCAGTGAGCAAGCAGCAGAAGTGTTGATCCTAATTGGAGCAGACACAAGGATCTTCTATAATCCTCTGACATCCTTTTCAAATAATAATTCTTAGGTGGGTGGTGGGCTGGTGGCTGCAATGCCAGTGCAGGCTTCTCTACAATGAAGCCTAACCATTGTCAATTATTTTTGATGTATGCTAGCTTAACTTAAGTCTGTTCTTCCTGGCTTTTCCAACCCACAGAAGGGTATTCTTCCTCCTAATTATTGTCACAGTATCCAGGATGGCCAGAACAAGTATGTTATTTTGGCTTAATGTGCTCTCCAAAACACATTCCCTTCCTTTCCAGTCTCTCTGTGCTCTTCCTACAAAGTACAAAGAGCAAGCATATACTTTCAGTCAAATATCTGAGGAGTATTTTACTTATAACCTTAATTGCCATAGTCATTGGACTTTAACTCATTAAATGCCAGCATTTGGAGGCAACTGGAGATATGATAATGAGTATATATGATTATAGTTGCATATATATAGCTTCCAGTAGGTTAATAATTGGGACTAAATCCTCCTCCACCCACACACTTTCTAATAATTTGTTCAGGGGCTCTGCCAGCCAGTGATATTCAGGGAACAAATTGTCATCCTTTATGTGCATTTTAAAGACTGGCGTTTGCCAGAGTCTCACACTGTCATGCAGAAGCTTGAGTTCTCTGAGTCAAAGAGAAAGAAACAAAACAAAACAATGTATGTCCTGCCCCACATTTGTAAGCTCGTATTTTACTCTCCTTGGCCCTGACTACAGTCCTTTCTGCTGAGCGGGGAAGTGAATGTCTCCATGTAGAGACATTTTCAGAAATCCGATTCTGGAGAGCTGAGGAGTGCTGCGGCAGGAATGTATTACTGGGACACTTAGAAGGTGGTTAACTGCTTGAGTGCTGCTGCCTGCACTAGAGAGAGAAGGGAGGGACCGCAGTTGTAATATAGCTCCAGTGCCACTCAGCTTAGCCAAAGTGGGGTTTTAAAGTGGTGTCCTCATATATCTCTGTAGGTAGTGGGGGGTGTCTTTTGCAAGGTAAAACACGGGTAAAAGGTAAGGGTAGAGATAGCATGGCAAAAGCAGTAGTTATTTATCTTGAACTAGGTTCACAGGGATTGAGATAATTTTCCACTTGTATAGAGCTTGAGAAGCTCCTAAAAATAAATATTCTATCACAGATTTCAGTCAGATAGAAAGGAATACATTCATTCATACATGTAGGTACATTTTAAATATTCTCTTTAAAATTGTGGAGATTTCTTTTGCTTTCAGAGATTACCAGTACCCTTTAATGAATCAATAATGAAAACAAATTCATTTATCTCAGTTCTTTGCAAATCTTGCTTTAAAGTTCATAGTTAAGCAAAGCAAGTGATAAAATTCTTTGATGAGACTACTCCTTATCTCATTTACTTTAATTCTGTGTTTACTTTAAAAACCAAACTTAAATACCTTCCTCAAATTTAGAGTAAGGTGTGAGGCATAAATGCTGTAAGTTGATGGAGAGGACAGCAGTTATTTCAGCTTGGGTCTGACAGCCATCTGACAGGTGATACTCTATGTCTCTGACGGATAGTCAGGAGAAGCTGGGAGGAATTTTGAGCTCATTCTTGGCTGTTGCGCAGCAGATTAATTTATTATTTTTTTTAAAGGTTATCATTAGCATGAATGGAAAAATGGGTTGGATGCCTAATAATGCATCTCTAAAAAGAAGCATATATTTATTTAGTCAAGGCATATTTATTGAGTGCCTACTACATGCCAGACACTGATAGAATTATTGGGACTACATTGATGAATAAGATAGGCAAGGGCTGTATTCTCATGGGGCTTACATTCTGCTTGTTAAAATACACATGCTTTGAAAGTATGTAAGTATATGTTCTAAAAAAAAAGCCTCAGTGCATTTTTATTTCCTCATTTCACACATTTTCTTCTTCATATTTAAAATGTAGGCTGAAACACTCCTTATATTCTTTGAAGGTGAAAAAAATATATCACTGCAGGGTGAACTACAGAATTTCAGTGACTACAGAAGTGCTTCAAAACCTAAATTGGGAACAGAGTGGATGTAAAATGGTTTACAAATAATTATCAGATTAGGATGCTTTTCAGTTACTGTGTCCATTCATAAAACCGAGCAAAGTATGTCTGGAGCAGCTGACACCAGAGTTCAAGGTTGCCCATCTCCTCTGCAGGAGGTCGTGATAACTAAACATGATCATTTCTTGTTCTCACAGCATGGCTTCAGGAAAACCAAATCGTCTCTGCCCTCAGAGTCCTGACCTCATGAATTAGAAGAAGTGAAAGAAGATGGCTTCCAAATTATGTTTTAAAACTTGTGAGGATTTAAACTCTATCCATAGAACTTTCCATTAAACACTGAAGCATCCTTGAAACAGAATAAATTGATGTCTGTTTCATTTATTTATTCAAATACACCTCTATACTCAAAAAATAATCCCCTACTAGAATAATTTTTCAGAAAATATTTTTGAAAACTTAGATGAAACCATAATTTAAGCTGTGATATCTCTATTTTGGCAAATGTTTCAAGGTGTCTGGAGGTGGGGCCTTGGGCATCTAGCCTCTATGTAATGGGCATGCCAATTTCTGCAAGCTTAACTTTGAATCATTACTATCTACTCACTTGGAGAAGAAAAACTCCAGGACCAAAGATCAGACACAGTCTTTTCTTTTCTCTATGACTTTTGTTCTAACTTTCATTCCTCTCTGCTTTTCTTCTCAAAATATGTGATATCCAACATTTTCTTGTTCACAGTTACCTTGAATTAATAAATAGTCACAACCTTTCAGATCCCTCTGCTTTGAAGACTTTTTCACTATAAGAAATCAGCCAAAATTTTTAAGAGTAATGTTGAAATTTTCTTTTGGAAGGTGTTAGAAAATGAGGTACTCCCTTGCTTTTGAGACTCTTTTAAGAAAAGAGGTTATGATTTTCCTAAAGCACATTTTCTATTTCTAGACTTATTACAAATCCTTGTTAGATAATGTACTCTTCACAATAAATAGAGAGTTTACTAACAGAGAAAATATTATTGCTTCCCTTAAGAGTTATCTTTCCCCTACCTCCTTCTCTTTCCCCCGGCCCTCTCCTCCCTCTCTCTCCCAACCCCCATCATTCTGTCTTGAAAAGATTGCCTTAATGTTTGGGCATTTATTATACATGAGTATTTCTCTATTTCTTACATGATTGTTGATTTTCTTGACTATTGCAAAGTTGTTAAAAGTTATAAATAGATTTTGAAATAAAAGGAGTTAGTTATGATAAGAGTTTTTCAGAAACTGCCCAGGCTGTAATTTTCTCAGAATATTAAGATAAATGTTTAAGGAAATAATCATTGCCGAAAATTATTCTGGTAGACAACTTTTTAGATAATTTTTGGTTTTCACTATAAGAAAATTTGCTTTTATTATAGTGAATTTCCTCCTTCTCTACTAGATGTGAGATACAAGTATACATAAATCTATGTATTCTATTGAGGCCCATTAACCTGAGGCAGTGGGCAGTAGCTCAGACCTTAGACTATATCTTGAAAATGTAGTGTCTCCAAGTTCTAATTCCTCTTTTACATTGTTACTTGACCTTGAAGAAAAACACGTGAACTGTTTCCTTTTTTTCTTATTTACTAGGAAATTCGAACAAAATTTGGAAACTATCTGTAGCAATTATATGCCTCAGGAATGCATTTTGTGGCTTTTGTTTTGTAACTCTTTTACTTTTTAACCTTTTCTTCTTTTGATTTTATTTTTTCCTGTTGAATTGTATATGTGTTCACATATACCATCTCAAATAATGTTAGAAAGAAATTAGGTTATAAGTAAGTAGATAAAATTATAGTTACGTTTATTGATGGCTTGCTACGTGTTAGATTTTCAGTTAAGCATTTTATACACACTACCACACATGATATATATAACAACCCCATCAGGTACCATATCAGTTAGAAATGCATTCATTTGCCAGTAGCTGAATATCTAGTGAATAGTAACCTAAATAAAGAAGGGAGTATTTATCTTTTAACATAACAAGAAGTCTAGAGAAAAGTAGCAGTTGACATTGATTTGAAAGCTCATTGGTGTCAGAACTAGCATCACTGAGGTTCATTTACTCTTTGCTTCAGGTACTTAAGATGGTTTCAGTAGCTCAGAACATTATGCCAGTATTTAGCAAAAGAATAAGGTGGAAAGGTAGAAAAGTCATGTGTGTTGCTTTTATCAGGAAGCTTCTGCTTACATCTCATGGCCGGAAATGTGACACGTGGCCCCTTTTAGAACTTAGAAATAGCACTTCATGTCTAAAACACTAAAAGCAATGACAACAAAAGCCAAAATTGACAAATGGGATCTCATTAAACTAAAGAGCTTCTGCACAGCAAAAGAAACTACCATCAGAGTGAACAGGCAATCTACAGAATGGGAGAAAATTTTTGCAGTCTACTCATCTGACAAAGGGCTAATATCCAGAATCTACAAAGAACTCAAACGAATTTACAAGAAAAAAACAACTCCATCAAAAATTGGGCAAAGGATATGAACAGACACTTCTCAAAAGAAGACATTTATGCAGCCAACAGACACATGAAAAAATGCTCATCGTCACTGGCCATCAGAGAAATGCAAATCAAAACCACAATGAGATACCATTTCACACCAGTTAGAATGGTGATCATTAAAATGTCAGGAAACAACAGGTGCTGGAGAGGATATGGAGAAACAGGAACACTTTTACACTGTTGGTGGGATTGTAAACTAGTTCAACCATTGTGGAAGACAGTGTGGCGATTCTTCAAGGATCTAGAACTAGAAATACCATTAGACCCAGCCATCCCATTACTGGGTATATACCCAAAGGATTATAACTCATGCTGCTATAAAGACACATGCACACATGTATGTTTATTGCGGCATTATTCGCAATAGCAAAGACTTGGAACCAACCCAAATGTCCATCAATGATAGACTGGATTAAGAAAATGTGGCACATATACAGCATGGAATACTATGAAGCCACAAAAAGGATGAGTTCATGTCCTTTGTAGGGACATGGATGAAGCTGGAAACCATCATTCTCATCAAACTATCGCAAGGACAGAAAACCAAGCACCGCATGTTCTCACTCATAGGTGGGAGTTGAACAATTAGAACACTTGGACACAGGAAAGGGAACGTCACACGCTGGGGCCTGTTGTGGGGTCGGGGGAGTGGGGAGGGATAGCGTTAGGAGATATACCTAATGTAAATGACGAGTTAATGGGTGCAGCACACCAACATGGCACATGCATACATATGTAACAAACCTGCACGTTGTGCACATGTACCCTAGAACTTAAAGTACAATAATAATAAAAAAAAGAACTTAGAAATAGATGCTAGCAAAAGGGAAGTGATTTGACAGTGGATATGGAAAAGAATAAGTTTAAACATATTTAACAACTGCTACAGCACCGACACTAAGAAATTAGAATGGACACACTGGCTATAAATAATTGGTAGAAACTTATGAGTGAATGTATATGGAATATAAACCCTGAGTGCAGGATTAATCTGCAGCTATTTTTAGCCAATGTGCCACACTGTGTATCCCAAAATACATAATACTTTTAAAAATAATATACATGTATGCATACTGATATTATATGAGCCCTAATAAAACTCGACTTCCCAGGACACATTATGGTCTTGCTTGATACCTACTAAAATGAACTCACATAATCAATTCCAAAATATATTGAGGTAATTCAGGTTTTGATCATGGCAGAGCAGCTTGTACTGAACTAGCCCTGGCATAGATAACAATCATAAGTTCTGGGTAAACCTTAAATCACTAGTAACAACAAGTATTTGAAGACTGAAACTAGAGGGAAGCCAGCCTTTGAAGATAAGATGGTGCATTGCGTGAGAAGCAGTTCATATAAATCAACTCCAAGATGTCACAAAGGGTAAAATTAGGAAACAAAGACTTTAATGAGGTTATTAATTTGTTTAACGCTGGTAATCATTTCACTAGTACATGTATATCAAGACAGTGTGTGGTATGCTTTGAATATATTCAATAATAAAACAATTATAGTCATGTTTAACAAACAGGTAGGACATCACAGCCAAGAATGAAGACTATAAATAAGAACCAAATGGAAATTTTCAAACTGAAAAGTTCAGTAACTGAGATTATAAATTTTAATGGAAGGCTTACGAGCATGTTGGAAACAGCAGAAGAAAGATTCAGTGAACACTGAAATATGTTGAAAGAAATTGTCCAATCTGAGAAACAAAGATTGAAGATAATGAACAGAACTTTATCACCTATGGAACAATAGGAGATATTCTAATATGTGTGCAATTAGAGAACTAGAAGTTAAGCAGAGAGAGAGAAAGGAAAAAAAAAAGATAAGAACAAAAATAGTATTTGAATACATAATAACAGAAAAATCTCCAAATTTGGAGGAAAATGGAGGAAAAGTTAAGCAAGCACTATCCTATAAATAAATTAAAACCCCACGTGGGCCACCTGCCAGAAACCCATGTTTAAAGCAACCAAAGAAAAATGACAAATTTTATAGAGAGGCTGGTAATATGAATGATGGCTGATTTCTCAACAGAAATAATGACACCAAAAGACGATGGGGAAATGTCTTTAAAATGTTAAGAGAAAAAGTAAAAAAGAAGAGTCAACATAAAATTTTATTCCCAGTGAAAATATCCTTAACGAAACAAAGTGGAGTAAAGAACATTTTCAGATAAAGGAAAACAGAAAATTCATCACTAGTAGTCCTGTCTTGCAATAAATGCCAAAAAAAATTCTTGAGGCTGAAGGAAAGTCACAGTAGATGGAAATTCATATCTCTAGGAAGGAATGAAGAACATTAAATGGTAAATATAAAATATATTCTATCACTTAATGTCAGAATGACATAAATGTGTATTTTCCTAACAAAAAGACTCAGAATTACATAAAGCAAAGCTGACAAAACAAAGGGAAATAAAATTCACCATCATTATTAGATTTTAACATACTTTGGCATTAGTTTGGGTCTTGGAGAAATAGAATCCAAGGCAGGATTAGATTTATTGAGAAAGAGAGCAAAACAAGGAGGGTACAAGAAGAGAGGATGTAAGCCCAACACCTGTGGAAAGAGAGAGGCAGGAAAGAGCACTGGATAGAAGAGTAATACAATACCGTTCAGGAAAGATTTGCCAGACAAATGAAGAGCTCTTGAGCCAAAGTTGCTCTTTGGAATAGTTCTCTGTCTTGCCAAAAAGGGCCTGTCTCAGTCCTCTCAATGTGCTTAGTGATCAGCTGTGAACAACCTGTAGAAGCAATTTTGATGACCTGCTGGAGGCTTAGTGTGCACTAATGTGAGAGTGAGAAACTTTTGGAGGCTACACACTTTTCTAGGCTTCTCTTTAAACAGTACTGCCAGGTTCTCATGGGGGACTATCAGAGAAATATCCTTTCATGGCTCTGGCAGGGAGAAGGAAAGAGCCAACATTAAATATGCCCAAAGCCTTCATGAAAAGGTCCTTGGAAAAGGACTTTGCCAGAGTTCACTACTGAAACTTTTTCCTAGCTGAACTTCTCCATATTCCCATTCCCTCCAGTCTTCTTGTCTCACCAGGGGAAAAGAAAAAAGAAGATAATAGTCAATAGGGTGTTAGGCTTAAAAAAGTAGATTGATAACACTACAACCAGGGAAGGGAGTACAGTGCAGGTAGAAAAAATCTATACCACTGGAGAGACTTTTCTGAAGATTATAACCTCAAGATACAGGCCCACTGGATGACTGAACTTTAACTGAGATATTATAGAATGTCTTCCCTCCTCAATGTCTTATTACCACATTAAAATGGCTCTAGTAACCATGGATTACAGTTGAAAGAGCTGCAAGACACAGTCTTTTTCTGAGCAGGAGTACATAAGGAAGCCCAAAATTAAAGGGGAGCCAAAAACAAGGACTCTAGATCCTTGCCCAGATCAGTGTTGTGGAGCTTTTCCCCTATGTTTTCTTCTAGTAGTTTTAGTTATAAATCTTATGTTTAAGTCTTTAATACATTTTTAGTTGATTTTCATGCTTCATAAATGTAACACAATTATAATTTTTCAATGAAAAATAATATTAATGAAAAAGGCATCAAAGGAATATATGTCAAAATAATTAATCTATGGCAAACCCACAGCCTACATCGTATTGAACAGGCAAAAGCTAGAAATAAAAAACACGTGAACAGAAACGAAGAATGCCTTTGATGGAAATATTAGCAGACTTGACATGGATGAGGAAGGAATTAATGATAATAAAGATAAATAAATGAAAACTTCCCAAACTGTGATGCAATTAGACAAAAATAAAAGAACATCCAAACACTGAAAGGCAATCTTAAAATGTGTATCATATGTGTGATTAGAATACCAGTAGAAGAAAGAAAGAATGAAGTAGACAAAAATAGTTGATAGAACAATGGCTGAGAACTTTTCAAAAATAATAACAAGCACCAAACTACAGACCCAAGAAGCTCAGAGAACACCAAATAAAATAATTCCCATAATATAAACAGAATCAGCAAAACCCTCAAATATACTCTGGCATATTATAGTCAAACTGCAGAAAATCAAATACAAAGAGATAATATTGAAGGAAACCACAGAAGAAAAATAACCTTACCTATAGAGAAACAGAGCAAAATTATAGT